TCCTGTACATCACAAGAGATTGGAGTTTGGAATAGCCACCTGCCTACACTGGGTAAGCTGAGCTGTCTGTTACTGCTGAGCACATCAGTGCACTCTGTAGTAATACTGTGGTAAAGGGAGTGAGTTTGGTGCTGGCAGACGAATGTTTTCTGAAGAGTTTGGGGACTGAATCACTGTAGCTAAGTGAGATCACTTGACTGGTTAATGGGAACAATGTGAACATGCTCAAACACTTTTCATATCTGTTTCTTTCACAATCTCTCTTCTCAAGTACAAGTTTGCAAGAATGTGAATAGTAAAGTCTATGTACAGAAGGGTTTTATGCCAAATTCATCTCCTTGCCTAGCCATGAAGTCATGGCTGATTTTTAACTACATAACTGGACATTTGAAAAATATCTTGAATTATTCAAGCATTCACATTCTTTCAAAGTAGTTAATTGTTGACCATAAAAAGTGTTAAAGCTTAGTGAACTTGAACTGTTTTCTATTTCTGTGCACAGAGGCAAAATTTTAGTATCCTGGTGGTTTCAAACTGGACTCTGAGTATATTCTGTAGTCTGTCTCTGAAAAGACTGAATGTACTGAACCTTCCTACCAGATGCCTGAGGTACAAGTAGCTTGACGGACAATTTTCGGCCACCTGTTACCAAATTGAACACAGCAGGCCAGTAGCACTGGGAGATCCACTGCTTGAACCAGTCTGTACCTCTTCTTGTATGTTTTGTAGCAACTCACATTTGAGGCTTACTTGAAAGTTGTTATTAACAACATATCTTTGGAGGTAATCAAACCCTGATTGGATGCACTCCCAGGCAAACAACTGTACGTGGCCCTTCTCCAACAGGAGTGTTGGACAAGATGACCTCCAGAGGTCACTTCAGACCTAAACCTTTGTTCCTCCTCAACAAAGGCAGCTGAGGAGCATCTAAACAGGCACAATGTAATGTAGGTGAGTCACGAGAACAAATGTAGGGATTTTGTGTTTAATGATGGGAAAGGCACCAGACTGACATCCAGTCCTAGGTGTTCAATTTTTTAGTTTCTTTGCAGTGTCCTAATTTCATATATATGGGGTTTTTTTCCTATACATTATACATGTATAATATGTAAGTTGGAGCTGCTAATACCATCTGTTTGTGCAATTCTGTTGTTCCTCTGACTCTTATAACTATTGAAGCTGCTGGCAGTGCCTGTGTGCTGAGTTTGCATGGGTAGTTTAGGAACCCTTGTCTGAAACATTGGCTCATAATGGTTCAGTAATTGTCTAAAGTCTACAGCAGCTCCAAAGGTTCCTATTATGCTAATAGAAGTTTACAAGAAACAGAGGTTAAACACTGGTGGGTATGTAGTATTTACCTACGTGCCTGTGTTCATTACAACCATTTTCAGAAAACTGCAGAATCAATTTTGAATGCTGGGAGCTTCTCTGATCCAAACTTCTCTCTCCAATGGAGGCACTATGGTATCTCAATTTTCTTATGTCCTAACAGTGGTGTTGTCATGCTCAGTTTTTGTAAAATCTCACTAAACTTATTTGTTACTTATCAAATCACATTTCTGAAGACAAATACTGCAGCTCTTCAGGTAGACCTCTTTTTCAGAAGACTGAAGTGAATCAAACAGGATAAAGGAACAATAGAAATAGTAGAAAATAGCCTTAAGAGACAGCATAACATTAACAGAAGCTAAGCAAATATGAGTAATATTTATAGGAAGTATACAACTAACTGAGTCCTAGTTATACTAACAGGAAATGAAATAAACAGAAAATGTGAAAAGTGAGAAGATTCATAAGTAAGAAACTAGACTAGGCTGTTTACGGATGGAGATCAGAAAGCCATTTAAGTTGCAAAGCAACCAGTAGTTATGATTGTTAACTTAAATGGACTAATGGAACTTTGCAGCAGTGGTAGATGTATCTGTTCATTCTACACAAATCAAGAGAATTTAATATTAATAATACCTGCTGAAGTCATATAGATCAAGACAATTCCGTGGTTCACAATAAGACACTGAAGAAAGGATCTTCAGGCTGGTGGTCTCATGCATTCATGTGGAGCATAGTTCATCATAGCCTTCATTGAAACTTAATCACTACCCAGGGTAAATCAGGCAAGATTTTATTATTTAATAAGCTGACTACTTTGTTAGTTTTTCTTATTTTTTCTTAGTTATTTTCTTTCTCTTTCATTCTCATTATCATAAGCTTTACACATTTTTTATAGACGTAACACGTGAACTTTGCTTGTGTTATCCATATTGCATTGTTCCTTAAGTACTTATTGACACTGTACATCTAAAATTTTCCATATTAGAGAGATCCTGAGGCAGGCTCCTTGAACTCCTAGGGTTTCCAGCCAACTTGGTTTATGATGTGCTTTGCTATTTTCTCAGACTACCTCTGGATACATCAGTTCCACTGCACATGCAAACCTTTGCAGTTATTTTCAGTCTTCATTGCTAGAAGGCCTGAATTTGTTTCTTCTTCTGCTTCTTATAACTATAAAATGCTGAGTAATATGGGTTCTTTGGTATTCTATATTATTTATACCATAATTATGTCTGAGTGCCAAAGTGGCACTAAAACACAGTGTACAAAGTGCTACACAAGACCCAGAAACAAAAGACCATCTTTGTCCTGAGCAAATAACACATGAAAAATTTGAAGAATATTGGCTATTTTTTGACCAGAAATTAAATCAGGATATCAAAAATTGTGGAAGTGTAACCAATTTTACAGGATTAGTTATTAAATACTAGCCACCAATCTTTTATGAAAGGAAAGACGAGAAAGCCCAATTTTCTTTTTATTTGTTAATTTTTTAAAATACAGTCACCATGCAATTGCATCCTTTTACACCACTCAGTTGAGAAGTTAGCTAATTCAGTAAGATATGTAGTTTCACATGCAGAGGTATCTAAAGCCCAATGCAAGTGTCACTGCTCTAGCCACGTGAGCACGGTGGTACGAGTTCAAAGAAGAGACAAAATGAAACTTGTGGGCTTAAGGCTTTTTCAGCAACATCAGAAGTTTCAGAGATGTTGAAAATTATTGATTTTCTTATGAAAAGCTATTACACATTGTTTACATAACCCACTTGTTCCATTTAGATGAAAACTGTTGACCAAGGAGTACCACATCTTGGGAAACCCAAGGCAGTTTTGCATTCTAAGTTTACTGCTTTCACCCAAGATCCTCTTCTATGAACAAGGAGTAAGTGGCTAATCTTCTGTTCGCATACCATGTGTGCTGAGGTTTACTGCACCTCATCTGGCAAGCCTTACTGGCATTCAGAGAATTTAAATACAGACCACAGTTCACACAAGCACTAAAATGCACCTAGGGCCTCAGGTCTCCATCAACTCCAGTTTTCAAAAGTCTAAGCTCTCTTCCCCTTTTTGGTTCTTTTTGTCCACAGAACCCTTCAGAACTTCAGTGCTGGTGAAGCTCCTACAATGTGTAGATGGTTCTATGGAAAAATGCATTTCCCAGAGCTGTTAAAAGTGGGATCCTTGAAGCTGAATGTGAGTCCAGCTTGGCCTGGAGGATGCTTGTTTGTGTAAATGGTCAGTGGGATCAAGGCTGGGGTGAGTTCATTACCCAGCTTGTCTCACTCTTCTTCCTTCCGGAGCTGACACATGTCCCTGGCATAGGCACATCAGTGGTACCATAGAGGGACATACAGCTCTGACACTGGGTCTGACGAATCACAGTCCCTTTGAATCATTTCAGTGCAGTTGGAACTATTTGATCTGTTTAAGACCTTCTGTGTTGCTCTTAAAACATTAAAGGAGTAAAAAACTCTGTCCTTAGTGAACATTTCAAGGGCTTGCTTTTGCTTCCAACAAAAATGGTATCAAGGAAGTATTGTTGTGCTAGACCAAAACCTGCTTTCTTCCTCTTCTTTTGTAAACCTCAGCCAGTTCTGGGGATCTTAACATTTGGCTTACAACCATCCTTGGCTTAACAGCCTCATATTGCTGGTGTTATTTTGTGATTTCCAAGTCTATCCTTGGAGTGATGTTCTTACCTGTCTGGAGTGGCACCTGTGAATCCTTCAGCATTTGGCTGTCTTGGAAACAGGCCAGAGACATAGACTGCCCAATGTCTGTTTAGCTCCTCTGTAGAAGAGTGATTATCTGATTCCACGGTTTTACTTCACCACCTCTGTGATGGGTATGCTGGGATCTTATACTGGGATTATTTCCCAGTGCCTGTGACTCTTAGTGGGCTTTTAAAGTGACTCGATAGCCAGGGATGCTCTGGCCCTTGCACAGAGTCCTCCCTGGAGCCCTCCCTTTCACATTAAACAGCCTACTGCTCCTACTGGGCCAAATCCTGTCCTGGCAAATATTAATTACAGACATTGAAACAGGCAGCAAACACCCTTGCTATTACTTGCAGTGCCTCTGAAAAAAATGCTTCTCAAAAAACGAACAATGAAGTTTTAAAGGCAGTGCAGTCCAGCTTCCTTATAGATAATAGATCTTCTAATGCTTTTTAGGGTTAAGTGGTAAAGATTTTTTTTTCTCTCTGGGCCATTACCATTCAGAAGAGTGCTGCCATAAGGTTTTGTGGAAAAATAAAACAAAAACAAAAACCTGCATTTGGCATATTTTGTTATGAAACTAAACTGACACTCAACTACCTTTTCCTCACTTGACCACCACTTAAATGAAAGACGGCTTATCACATGACAGGGAAGTTCTTCTTTCTTGGAAACCTTGACCCTGCTACCGGTAAACATGGAGACATCGTTTAGAAAAACGTCATAGAAGATTGTGGTCAAATTTATTGAAAGTGGAGCAAGATGTATAAAAAAGCACAGCAAGAGCACCGATCAGCCACCACATGAGCAATAGGTTATCTACGTGAGCATCTTGGTGCAGAAGCCGCTTTGAGGGTTAACAAAATTAGGTTAACCTCTGTCATCTAAGAGTTTGGCTGTGTCACATATGCTGCTGTGACTGTAGAGGCACGGAGATTTGGGAGCAAAGATGAAAATATGTTCTATTTTCAGATCTGGACATTTTTTATTTTTGCTTTGTCTTTTCACTGTGGAAGGCAAAAAGTCACCTACAGGAAAGCATCCCTGCCGAAAAGAATTCCTCTCCCAGGTGACAGAGAACCTGTATATCAAGGCAACTAGTTTAAAATCATCTGTTCCAGTAAGTTGATCCCACTAGTCAAAAAGTTTATTTTATTTATAGATGCTTCTTTACCAGTTTCATTACTGAACTCCTGGAAACTTTAAGAAGCTGAATGATCTCTACAGTTCTAAGAGACAGGGTAGCTACTTCTTTTGTAAAGGTGAGAAAAAATTATGCATAAAAGATGCATAGAGAGGCTGGATGAGTTTGCCATGGAAGTTTGTAGCTAGGCTAGGTTTGGAACACAGATTTACCGAGTCCTCATCCTACATCTGAAAAGGATGATGAAGATTATTGTTATTACTATTAAGTTTTGTACAAACCAGACTTAAAACTCTGTCTCCCTTCTTCTGCTCAGGTTAATTAATACTAGCACATTATATTTTACAGAAGGATCTCATCAAGACCACAAGATTGCTTAAAAAGTCTACAAAAATACCGTTTATGGTAAGATTTATACTGGTTTTCCAGTTTCTTATTTCGATTTTCCTTTTATCAGTATAGACAGGAATATGTCATCAAAAGGAATTACAGATGATGCAAAAATTGCTTGTCTTTAATTGGGATGGACATTTATGAGAGTCATATGCTTAACGGAAGTCCTCTGCTTAGAGGAAGAGTGTTATTTCTATGCCACATATTCCCATGGGACACGAGGAGACAGTTGATCATAGTACAGGGAGAAAGAGGTGAATTTGAAAGGCCTACCTGGAGGCCCTTCTTTCCAGGTAGTTGCAGTGGTGCTCTACCAAGGAAGTTGGGGTGAGGGTATCTGTTGTGTCAGGTAGGAGTGTACTCATGGTAGCATTTGCTCCTCCTGTGAGCCCTTGGTTGCACACCAGCCTCCCCAGAAATGCTCTCAAGCATCAGCCCATTCGCCTGAGGGCCAGGGCCATAGCCACTGTCCTGGCAGCTGAAGCACCTTCTGTTGAGGGCATGCAGTACCATGGATAGCCCAGGGATGATGCAGAGAGTCCGGATACCCAAGGAGATGCTTTGATCTTAGACCTTTGAAGGTGCACTGGAAGAGAGAGATCTGAGTTCCCAGGAAGACTCAGCAAGGGAGCGAGAAACAAACTTTGGGGTGTCTAATTGTAAGTGACTACAAGTGTACGAGATATTTTGTTTTTCTTCGTGCAGAGATCTAGTCAGCAGGGTCAACTGAGCCAGTTTATCCTTAAGTACAGACCAATTGGTCTTCTGTGTCCCTTGGATTTCACTGACTACCTTGGGTCCTCACTTGGCTGTGGGACCTACATACTGGCCATCTACATTTGGGTGGTGTAATATGCAGTTGCATTACTCTTCTGATGGGAATTTCACACCTGATACTTGGTTCTGTGGCCGAAAAATAGGCATATATCAATTTGAATTAACTTTGTGTGTCCAAGAGAAGCACTGGGCCAGGCAGATGTGACACAGGGTTGACAGGATGACTGATCTCTTCTGGAGTAGCAGTTGGGAGTGGGCAGGATACCCTACAGCATATCAAATGGCACTGAACACGATGTGGAGGAATGGAACCATGATACCCACAATGACTCCTACAATTTGAACAAGATGGTCTGACTTAACTTCTCAATTCATCTTCCATTTATTCTTTGTGTGTTGAGTACATTTGTTGCTGTCATTTCTGTTCATGGTTGGTCTTACCAATACTTCTGTACCTGCCAGTGCAACACCTTCCTGTCTTTCCTTCAGAAACTACAACTAGATTGAACTAGTTGTAGCTCAAAAAGGAAGCAGGCCAAGGGGATACTACAGTACATAAAAATGGTTTTATTCATTGTACACTTTCCAAACATGCATATTTTTATGAGGCTGAAATTTTCAGCCAAAGTTGACTTGTGAGGTTTTCATTTGGACACTCATCACTTGATTTGTTTTCAGACAAACTGCAGTGTTCGAGATCAACTCCTATCCTTCTATGTGAATAATGTTTTCAGTCATCTTGAGATAGGAAGAGACAAGTTGTATGTTATTAGCGCCTTCCAGGTCCTGCAAGTGAACATGGATGCCTGTGTGAGTATATTCCAGAGAGTTAAACTGATTTTGTCCATCTGAAAAGTTAGGGAAGGGTTCATATATCCTTTCTGCTCCTCCACACTGGATTTCAAAAGAACTGGCGATGTCTCTCATGAGTAAGCAGGAACCACAATTAGGAAGCACATCAGAGCAGTTCCCATGTGCCCACAGTCAGAGCAGGTTTTCAGGGAGTGATGCTGCCCACTGGCAAAATATCTCCAGAATGGACCAGGTGCCACAGAGAAGAGGTACTTTTACAAACACACCAGTTAAAGCACACTTTTGCCTACGCAAATATACATATTAGGTAGGATGCTAAGATGACACCAATACTTGTCAATCGTTTCTTGTCTTATTTTTAATGGTACACCAATAACAACAGGGTGTGTCTTCAAACCATATATCCCGTGGATGTTTTTTTAATTCCCTAAACCAGTAATTCTCACAAGTCACAGTGTCCCAAAAAGTGGAACATGACTTAGGGTGACATATAGCCATGGATATCCAGGCAAATGTCTACAGTGATTTTACCAAGTGAGAACAGGATGAGAAGTCAATGAATTAATGAAGTTTATGAATTAAAAGAATTTAAACTTTGTCTAATCTGAATTGTATGATAGCATGAAAGAAAAGGACATTGATTCTATGCTCACACAAATATTTGCAATGCAAGAATAAACAGCTTCAGAGGTCTCTTTGCAGAGTTAAGACTCAGAAGCCAATCGGAATATTCGTATAATGTAAAAAGATTTAAATCCCAATGGGAGAAAACTTTACCAGTTTTCAGGTTCTGCATTTAAAACCATGCTAAACCGTTTCAATTTATAGCCATTATTCACAGCGTTTATCATACTGCTGGGGTTATCTGTGTCTGTCAACATTCCAGATAATGCTGTGCTATAACTCCAGAATGCTATAATGTAATTCCAGATGCTATAATATACTTACAGAGATTTCATTCTTGTCTGGGAAAGCAATTACACTCTATGCAAGTGCCAGTACACACTGAGGGATTTGGACTGTCAACTGTGACTGAATTCAGCATATGAGTTATTCTAAAATACTACCAGTGACTGTAGCTTGCTAGACAGTTTAGTAGTACATTTGTTTCTGTGTTGTATGGAGACAAAATGCTGCAGGTTTCTGAGAGTTCCTGCATTCTTTTTCATAATTAGTGCCAGTATTTTACCCAACACAAGTTTAAACATAACAGCTTATGTTTCTGGATCTTAGAAAATGTTGGTGGGAGAGATAAGTCTTCTCCTGGTAGCAGCAAAACAGTAGCTCTTTGAGAAATGAAGGTTTGCCATGATTTTCTAGGAGACATCTCATTTCTGGAAAGTAACACTTGAATTCTTTTTATTAATTTATATTAATTTAAACCCAACAATAAAAAAATCATGTGAAAGAATAATAGAAACTGTGAATAGAATGAAAGTACTAGTATTAGTACAAAGTATTAGTACTTTGCTAATACCAAGCTTGAGATTTCTCCATCATATTATTCCTCAATAATAGCACTCATTCATCCACCTACATAAGATCTTTAATGGTTGTTATGTAGCTGAGTTATAAGATGTTTATCTGAAGGGATTTCCACCATGACAACATACTTATGTAATTTGTTACCTTTCAAGGAGAAAGTTCTCTATATAATTAAGCATAACAGTGATATCTTTGTGTATATATATATATCTCCACCCTATACTCTTTCACAGACTCAGGCTGTAATTCAGCCAGCTAGAGATGGGTATGCTATATAAAAATCTTAACAGTATTTGTCTCCAAACCACTTTCAAGTACTTTATACTACAATGTTATGATTCTCACTCTGCTAGACGTTTTGTCCAGGCAAGGAAGATTTAATATTTTCCAGTGATATAGGGGCCCAAGTTCTGTTTTTTTAAAATACATAGACTCTAAAATCTCTAAACCCATTTTCTGCAGTGAAATCAGACTCTTTCATTTAGTGTAAGACTACAAGATAAAGGGAACAGGCATTTTTCCTTGGAGACTGGGAGCATCCACCTGTAGCACCACTGACCTCTTGGCTCAAGTGCCCTACTCAGTTTTGCTGAGAACAGTATGAAGTTGCTTTGGAGGTCGGATTTATGTTCCTCCATCAGTAGTGGATTATGGAAGTGTGTTCTCATATTTGGGTGGAGTGTAGAAGGACAATATATTCCTTGCAGTATCTTAAATCATTTCTCTTTCATTGTTGTAGACCTTGAGCAGATATTTGAGTATTGTTTGCAATAGTCAAGCTAACTTGCTAGCTCATTTATTTACCCGTTTATGCAGGAAGAACAGAGTTTGTAATATGTATCACCACTAAAGCCAGCATAGTCATTTCAGGTCAGTTTTGCTACCAAATTTGTTGGTTTATTTGTTTGTTTTGTGGAAATCTGCATCATACAAGCAGACCTTTAAAAAAAAAAATCAAGAAAAAAAAGTCCCAAGTCAGAAAAAACTACCCTGGTTAGAAGATTTTGAAAAATTTACTTCTATTCAGATTTTTTTAAAATGTTTGCTTTTATTTCCACTTTCATCATGTGAGGTGCCTTTAGGGGCTGATCATCCATTTCAGTGGAGTCATCTCCTTTCATATGAGTTGAGGGCCTTTGTCTTTTTCTTTTTCAAACATGTTGTCCTTGTTTGTAGATTGGAAAACACCAGATTTTTCCGTTTTTTTTCCCTGAAAGAATGTATCTTCCCCTTTGAAAACCCACAGAGCTCATATTACCACTTTTTTGTGTTGTGAACTCAACTTGGCAGGAAGCATGCAGGCAAAAGAATACCTTTGAAGTAGAGGGAGAAGCGGAAATGATGCTGAGTTCACACATTTTACTGGTAGCCCTGTAGTGCCACACTGTGGGTTCAACTCTTCCTCATTGCTATATATCTTTACATCAGCATCTTTGGATTTCTTTTCATCCTTCAGCATCCATGTGCTCCATCCACAAGATTAACTTCTGCAGTCAAAAAATTAAGGAGAACGTTTTTTAAGGTAAGAACAGGAGGCACTGGCTCCCTGCTGTGCTGTTCCAGGGCTGTAAGTAGTTTCTTTTCTAACGCCTTTATCTTCTCAACAGCTTGGAGAGAAGGGAATCTACAAAGCCATCCATGAGCTGGACATTCTCCTTCCCTGGATTCGGGCCTACATACAAACCATCCTATGAAGAATGAGGAGGTGACAGACAACATGCTGCTGCTGTGCTAAAAGCAGATCCTTACCCAAAAGGCCTGAAAATGAATCGAGAGCCAGATGTACGTGTCTGTCAGTAACTGCGTCCCATGGAAGGAGAGCCTCTGTAACACAGCAGCACAAAGAGGGATTTTCATAAATTTTCACAGTTAGCCTGGCCTAGCAGCTATGCCCATTCTGCCTCTGGAGCAGCTACAGCGTGCTGCTGTCCTTCTCATCCTGCCTGCCTGCCTGCCTGCCTGCCAGCTGCCACACAGGCAGTGCCTGAACACATCACGCCAGCATAACTTGGAATCTGCTATCCTAAAGATCAGACACAGTGTCCCAGGTGCCATGGGCATGATTTAACCATGCCTTTTGTCACCCTGCTTGAATACAGTTCAAATAAATGAGGAACACTTTTGAAAATCCCTCCCCTAAGCTATATTTCTTTTGGGGTTATTTGTTGTAGATATAACAATATACAAAAACCATTCTACATAAAAATAAGAAAAATAATTACATAGTGCTTATCTTTATTATTAATTTAAGATAATAATTGATTCCTAATAAACATATACCAATTAATGTAAAAACTTTGGTCTAGGTTTCATGCATGGCCTTCAAATGTCACATCATCTACGTGAGATCAGACATGCAGAAAACACAGTAAATGAATTGGTTTGTCTAGGATTGTAAAATGGTTTGAGAGATTTATGGAAGCTGATGGTAGTGGTGGTAGCGGTTTCTGAAATGTCTCTCACATAGTACAGAACAAAGATGGTTTTCTAATTTTCTCACATTTTTAAATATTTAACAGGATTATGAACCTATTCCCAAATCTGTATGTTTGGCACTTCCATGGAGCTGAGATTCTGCAAAATTTCAAATTTCATAGTTCTATTGTGTAAGGAGCGTTGAATACCTCACTGTGCTGAGACCAACAAACTGAACCAGTTCCTCTCCTGCATTGTTGCCTTCTGCAGCCAAGGGGTGTTAGCTGATTTCTGACAGGTGGTCTTTTGATTCCAAGGTCCAATTAAATGTGCTCCCAAACCAGGCTATGATCAGCACACCTTCATTTTCATTTCTTCAGAGACCATTCAGAAACTCTCTGGGGTTGACATACCTGTGGTAGCTAGAGCAGTAGGGGACAGCCTAGCTATTCCCACTCCTGGACTCCTGAAAGGGCCACCGCTGCTGCTAGTGGGTTGTTGATTGTCATCCACATGAGTTGTTAGTGGTTGGTGAGGTTTAGGAGGGAGAAGAGCATCATCTCTTATATAAACTGGCAAATCATTGCCCAGCATCCTGGAGGGGAGAAAGAGGAAAGCTTGTGACCTGCTTCTGTCACTAGCCTGTATTCCAGCAGTTCCATACAACCCCACCTCACCCCTCCTTGTCTGCAAACTGTGTGTGACTTGTCCTTTCTGATGCCTCATAAACTGCTTCAGGTTACTTTAACATCAAAAAATCATATTAGTTGCATGTTGAAATATCAGACAAAGCACAATGGTGGATGCTCTTTGGAAATGACTGACTCTGGTACTGGGACAAGCAAAAACAGTGTGCACTTCATGTGCTCACACTTCAGTGTGCACTCTGCTCAGAGTTCAGCAGTCAGTGCCGTGACACTTGTACTTTTGCAGGGGCCCCTTGATGTCTCTGTGTTGATTTTAGTCATCACATATTAAATATCCCAGTTCAGGGGAGCTGACTACATACACCTTTTAATGCATTGGAATAAACACTGGATGTGGTTTGTCTAACACTTATATAAAGAAATGTGCATACATACTACTTTCGATTTGTTGAACATTTTCTTCTTTTACCATGTTTTCACCTGATGATGTATATCTCACAGGTTTGATTAAAAAAAGGGCTGACTCAAAGAACTCTAAAAGGAGGAAAACGTCCTACAGTCTCTGATATAGACAATTCTCAGGTAAATTCCATTTGTTGTTACTCTTCTGAAGATGGGAAATCAGTTATGCAGACAAAAGGAAATAGGATGCATGAATAAACCAGTGTTACACCTCACATACCTCTGTCACAGAATATTCTGCATTGGAAGGGATCCACACTGATCACTGAGTCCAATTTGCGAGTGGCCCATACAGGGGATTGAACCCATGACCTTGGCATTATTAGCACCATGCTCCAACCGAGCACACACAGAAGCAGCTCTGCAGTGTTTAACATCCTGCTTTGCAGAGGCTGCTGAACTCTTTGGACTGGAAGTCAGCTTGAAGAAAACAGAAGTTTTATATCAGCCTGCACCTCAGGAAGTCTCCCATCATCCCCATATCACCATTGGTGAAACAGAACTCAAATCAGTCCAGCAGTTTAGTTACCTGGGTAGCATCATCTCCTCAGAGGGTAAGATTGATGCAGAAATAGACAACAGGTTAGCAAAGGTATACAGAGCTTTTGGTAAACTCCATAAGAGTGTGGCAAAACAAACACCTGAAGAAAAGTACAAAGATCAGCGTTTACAGAGCCATTGTACTGTCTGCTCTTTTATATGGATCTGAATCGTGGGTCATTTACCAGCACCACTTGTGTCTCTTAGAACGCTTCCATCAGCGCTGCCTCCGTACAATTCTAAACATCCACTGGACTGATTATGTGACCAACACGTCTGTCCTTGAACAGGCAGCAGTCACGAGCATCGAGGCCATGCTGCTGAGAACACAGCTGCGCTGGGCAGGGCACATCTCCAGGATGCAGGACTACCACCTCCCTAAGATCGTGCTCTGTGGGGAACTTGCCACTGGCTGCAGTGAGAGAGGAGCCCCGAAGAGGAGATACAAGGACTGCCTGAAACAATCCCTCAGCCTTGGCCATATTGATCACCACCATTGGTCTACCCTGGCCTCCAGTCGGGAGGCCTGGAGACACATCATCTATAACGCTGCTGCTGCTTTTGAGAACACACGCAGGATCACTCTCGAGGAGAAAAGACAACGCAGAAAGAATCGCGTCTCGTCTGTATCACCTGGGGAGTCTTTCTGCTGTGCCTTCTGCAACCGGACTTGTCTATCTTGCATTGGCCTTTTTAGCCATCAGCGCGCTTGTAGCAAGTGTGGGTAGAACCCTTCTCAAATCTTCGTTCGCGAAGCCTAGCCATGATGATGACACCTCACATAACTAGTCAGATGGTGATTGAAATCTCTATGCAGAGTTCATATTTTTTTTAGCTGTATGATTTTCGCATCTTCTTTGACCTCCAGGTTCCTCAGACATTGATGTAAAAGGACAGAGCTTGGGAATAGACAGCCCAGGTGCCCATGGTAGAAGTAAAAGAGAAGAGCAAGAATGTTTTGTCAGACAAATTCAGTTATAAACTGTCCTATAAAAGTTAGTCAGTAAATAATTCACAAAACCCCCACAATTAAAAGAAAAAAGATAAAGGGACCCAACCAGTGAGTAATATATAATCTACTAAAATTGTTCCTTGGTGCTAAAAATTTAAACCTTTTCCTTGTGAAGGATAATAGAGGTGCCTAATAAAAACATTCGTCTGCATATACATTCTTACTCTGTGAGACAGCAAACGTAATGTTCCTCCCTACCAGTGGCTTTTAGATTTTACAGTGAGCTGCCAATCCACAACATACACAGACTAATATTTAGAAGGCACAGGTGAGGAGAAGAAAGCTGCCTTACACCCCTTATTCCAGAGGAATACCAGCTCCAACTGAATGCCTTGTATGTTTAGCAATGAGACACAGATTTACTCATCTATTTTATGAGATGTTATATATTGTTTCATTATTTGTATTTTATTACTAGAGGGAGTTGCACTATATGGCACACTAGGTTTTATTGCAGTACCTTACCAGGCAAATGTATTTTATTTGAACAAACTATACTATAAACAAAAGTCTGAACATAACATTCCCGGCTCTGAGGAATCATTTCCAAATTATTTAGATCTTACTGAATTTCCTTCTTTTTCTGATTTGAAATTCTCTCCTTTACGTAGTAACGTGACACCTATGGGCCTAATAAGACCAAGACATGTTTGTAACTCACTCTTTTAGAATTCATGAAGCCGATTGTTGCCAAATACCACATTCCAGAAGAAACAGAAAAAGCTGGCCCAGTGTTTTAATTAACAGGAGGTTGAAGAGACAGACCTGGGCACATACAGGACACCACTGCCCTAAAGTGCAGGGCCCATCCTGGCCTCACATGGCTGGAGCAGGAGCCTGCATGTTTCCTGTGGTATGATGGTTGTTCCGTGGTGAGCTGGGCAGCAGGGGGACCCCAGGGAAGGAAGGTATGGCTGCCTGAGTGTATGTTCACTTGCTCACCCCTAAGAGCATAACTCCATGATTTCAAATGTTTGTCCTGCAGACAAACAACTGCATTGTAGTCCTACTCTCCTATGCAGTCAATATTCAACATCAGCTTGCAAATGCCAGGGTAAATGTCCAACTAATAGTAGGGGATTGCTACAAAAAATATTTTTTTCCAGTGGTTAATTAGATAGTGATAAAGGTGATACATTTAATGTCATGGTCTTTTTTGAGCATGTAATTTAATTTTCAATGAACACAATCTCCTTTTTTATGGATTTATTCACACAGCTCACCCATTTGTTTGTGAAGTTTAGGTCTGCTCTTGGTTTTGATGGTTTTTGTCCAAATATGGAATAGAAAATTGACCATGAGCATGATTTCACCAGCCTTCATCAGATATCACTGTCCAGTCCTTGCCACTGTCAGTGAGCAGTAACTGGGATCTGGGGGCCCCCATGGCTGAAGGCACTGCTCCTTCTCTGGTGCAGAAGAGAACCAGTGACTCCTGCAAACAGGAAAAACTGCAACATTTAATTGAGAGGATCCATGGGCAAAGGTTTCCAAAGTGATTCAGGTTGCAAAGATTTTTCTTGTGGAAATTTTGCTGAGCTACCACATCCAGTCAGTGGGTGACACACGAAGAGACAGATGAACTTTGAAAAGGGCAAGTAACACCTTTTTTCCCACT